TGAAGGGCCCCCGGCAGTGGGATCAGGATCTATCCCTGGTGCATGATTCTGGATCCCATTACCTATGGTTGGACACCTGGCTCACCCTTGATGCAGTGGGGGAGGGGCTTGGTCCTGCCTCAACTGAATGTACCAGGCTTTGCTGTCCTCCCATAGGAGGACTTATCCTTTTGGAGAAGGGTATGGGGGGGCGGGGAGAAAGGCAGAGCGGGGAGCAGGAGGAGGGATGAGAAGGGGATCTGTGGTTGGTATATAAAATGAATAAAAAAAAATTAAATAAAAAATCCAAGATGTCTTTAAAAGTTCAAATACAATATCTAAAATCTTTCTAATACCCCAAGGTCTCTTAACTGTGGGCTTGTGGGCTCTTGGGGGTTTGGGAGAGCAAGTTAAGTATTTTAATACTTCAAGAGGGAAGGGCCAGAGCACAGTTATAATCAAATCAAAACAAAACAAAAGTCCAGCAGTGAGAAGCTCAGGTCAGATGTCTGTGACTTATGATCCTCTAGTCGCCAAAGGGCTTGGGCAACTCCACTTCTCTGGCTCCACCACACACAGCACAGGTGCATGTCTAATAGGCTCAAGCCAGCTCCTCTCCACATCTGCTGCTGTCTTTGGTTGTCATCCATGGTATTTCTATCTCCAATATGCTGGGGTCTTCTCTGCAGCTGAGGCTGTACCCTCACCAATGACCTCTCCTGACCTCTCTCCAGGGATTCTGACCTTGCCACATCGTGCCAAACCTCAATTTCTCTCCATGACCTCCTCAAACCTGGGATATTCCCTGCAACTAAGGTTGTACCTTCACAAGTGGCCTCCCCCTATTTCTCACAGTGCCAACCCTCAGCTGCTCTCCTGGCCTCTTCATGTTTTCAAAGCTAGGACCACCTGGGAAACTCACACATGCACCAAATTTGGCTTCTGTCATAAGATACAGCCTTGAGCCCAATCAGCCACAATTTTTGTTTGCTAACTAAAAATACTTTCCAGAAGATTTTACATTGATGTTGGTCTCTTCTTAATCACAACTCATTCTTTACCCATATCTAACGAGCATTGAGTGTACTAACAAGGCAAAGATTTCACTATTGTTTTTCTGGTCTCTTGTTAAACCAGTCCTTCAACTCCAGCTGACAAGAACTATAGATTCTTAACTCAAAATATCACATAAATGGCGTCTGCAGTTTTGCTTCCCTTTGATACATCGTAAGCATGCCTCCATCATCTGTATGCCCACAGCCTTATCCAAGTTCCCAAATATCCCATTAATCTCTGGGCACTCCATAACTTTTCTAGCTCAAAGTTGCAAACTCCTTCTATAGTCCTCCCTGCAATACATGGTCAGGTCTTTCACAGCTATATTCTGTTCTTTGGAACCAACTTCTTCCCACTTAGGTTTCTATTGATGTGAGGAAAGGATTTATTTTATCTTACAATTCTCAGGTCATAGTCTATCACTGAAAGAAGTCAGGGCAGGAACACAAGGTAGGAACCTGAAGACACAGACCACAGAGGAATTCTGCTTTCTGAGTTGTTTCTCAGAGCTTACTCAGCCTACTTTCTTATAGAGTACAGAACCACCTTTCTAGGGGCTTTACCACCAACAGTGGGGTTGGCCTTCCCAGAGCAACTATTAATCAGGAATTAAATAACTAAATTAATTAACCAGAGATTTGCCTATAGGCCATTTGTATGTAGATATTAACTACATTGAGAATACTACTTTCCAACTGACTCTAGTTTGTATCAAGTTGACATAAACCTAACCAACATAGACTCTTTGACAAGTGAAGGAGAAAACAGAAATCACAGTAAAAGTCAGTTTTGCGGTGAAACCCTGCCAATTGGAAAAGTTGTGAACAGAGATAAAATGAAATGTTTTCTCACCATTTGTCTCTGGACGTCGTCTTAGGTTTAAAAAATTGTCTTATTATTATACCAGTCTCAATTATGATTCTCTGTTAATTGCTCCTGATGTCAACTTAACTTTACAGCTATCATTCCACCTTGTGGATCTCTTTATCAATATAACCGAATACCATACCTGCTGTGGTTTTATTTTGGTCCCTTTTCAATTAAATCCTTATAGTATAAAAGGCAAAGACTTGAGATTTCTACTACAGAAATGATCATGTATGCTAGTGAAGATATATAACAGCAAAGCATTGGAAGAAGTTCCACCAGTGTGAAACATGACAAAGTCTCACTATGCATCAGACTCACTCTAATAGAACTAGAAATACGAAAGTGTGTTACATACTTTCTCTATTTCCTAAGGTAAGATTATGTACACAAAACAAAATAAATGGGGACTTCATGAGACTTCAGCAAAGTTTTCAAAAGCAAGATCAATATTTTGGTTGTGAGCCTAGCCTTTAACAGCTGAGCTATCCCTCCAGCCCACAAGATCAATATTTTAAAGTCAGTGGCTCATGACACATCAGTCAAGGCTATTAAAAATATAATAATTGGCAATGTCATTAAAAATCCTTAAATTTACAGTGCTCAATAATATGTATAATAAGAAATATGCAAAATTTGAATGAGAACAATATTAAAATATAGCAATATATCAATAACTGAGTAACTGTGATGACATTCTTCAATAAGAGGCCTGAATGATTAAAAAAATCAATTCTTTTTTTAATCTACAATTCAGGACAATTTAAAAATAATTATCTACAAACTTTCAGAAAACAGTAAATGGGAAAAGATTACAGGAAAAATTAAAAATAAAAGTTTAAAAATTATAAATATATCCAATTATGTTAAAAAATTCAGTGTTAAAATGATATCCTGAATAAATCTTAGATGCTTCTGGCTAAAAGAGAAGAATCTGAAAAGGCCGCATCCTGTGTGGTTCCTACTATGCTACAGTCTGGAAAAGGAGATGGAGATTTATTTAAGTGGCTGCCAGTGGTTGGGAGAAAAATGTAATTAGTAAGAGTAACAAGAGAGCCGGGTGTGGTGTGTCACGCCTTTAATCCCAGCACTCAGGAGGCACAGCCTGTGAGTTCAAGACCAGCCTAGTCTACAAAGCAAGATCCAGGACAGGCACCAAAACTACACAGAGAAACCTTATCTCGAAAAAACAAAAACACACACACAAACAAAAAAAGAGTAGCAAAGAGGATTTGAGGATTTCAGGAATTTAGGTCAGTCAAAGTGTTTTGTATGATGCAGTACTGATACAGACCTGTCCAGATTCATAGCATGAACAACAGAAAGAATGAACCCTAATGTAAACTCTGGGTGGTAGGCAATCATTTTGTGTCATCTAAAAAAAATCTATCACTCTGGCAAAGGGTGCATATAAGAAATGACTGTACTTCTTATATTTTTAGGTAAAACAAAAAACACTGGAACTTTTTTTTTTTATCCCTAGGTTATTGGAAACTCACACCTAGTGCATTAGGCATGACTCTACCACTAATCTACATGCCCAGGCATTTTGCCTCCCAAATGCCAAGGAAGCAAATCTAATAGATTTAGTAGTCATGTGGTGAACCATACATTTTCATACTTATTTTGTTAGTGTCTTCTAAAGATAATTGGATAATTTCTATCAGATTTGTATTCTAGACCCTAACAAATACACTTCTAAGAATGATAGAGAACTACCTGTTTCTAATTTATTTCCATCACTATTATAACCAAAAAATGAAGAAATGCTAATTTCCAATGATAATTTTGTGATTAAGTAGTGAATTATTATTTCTCTACACTCTATATTTCTTGGTCAGTTTTTAAAAGATTCATATTAAATATGTATTAATATGGAAATTCTTTTGGCAATCAAAAGTTTTAAAATGTATTATAAAATACTATACCTAGGAAAATTATATTCATAAAACATACTTTATGTGCTATTTTCTGCTTTCCTAAACTTGATACTGAGAATATTAATGTAAGAGAAAATATTCTTTATATTTGTGCTTTTAAAAATAAATTGGACATAATGTTTGTATTATATAAATCATACAACTCAGGAGGTTAGAGGAGGATTGAGAGTGTCCAGCTGCCTTTGTGCCACACAGTGTGTTACAGGCTAGCTTAAGCGTGAAAGCCTTCCTCAAACAAAACAAAACAGTAGACATGTAGGTTTTAGAACAGGAACACATCACATGTTGCTTTTATTATCATAAATATACAGTTAATCTCAAGTAAGAAGGCAATTTTATGAATATGAATATTTTATGAATATGACAAATTTCAGCTATTTCCCAGAATAAATTTTACTGTAACCATTTGCTGAAAAACACACACAAACATAAGGACATATATAATTACAGCAGCATTGTGGCTGAGGATCTGACTTTAAATTTCTATTTCAATTTCTGTTTCAATTTCTCAGATCATGAAATTACATAGAACATGATCATTATCAAGATAAGAAATTGGCATAACATCAGTCTGATGGTGGCTACTTAGCTGATTATATTTATTTTATTCATTTTAATTTTAATTTTAATTTTGCTCATGGTGCATGTGCATGTTTCTCTCTGTGTGTGAGCTTACAGAGGCCAAAAGAGGGTCTGGTATTTTATTTTAATAAAATTCTGATTTGAAGATGAAAAAGGGGCTCTGCCTCATAGTCAGAAACCGACCTGAGATCTGAAACTCACATAATGCAAGGCAGAGAAGTGTTTAGACTGCTCATGATGCCTAGTAAGCATCATCTCTCACTACTAAGCAATCTGCAGGATACACAACAGCCTTCCTCTTGTATCTTTTGAATAAAGAAGGTAATCTTTATTATTTTGTTGCGAAGAGAGCTTGACTTCCCATTTCCCTTCTCACTTACTGGTCTACACTCCCCAGTACCCTTCCTTACTTCTCTCCTTCCCGTTTCCCCCTCGCTATCTTCACTCCTTAAAAAAATAAAAAACGTATGCCAAATGCATCCTTAGCTTCTCTCTGGCTCACCGGTGGTGAGCATGTAGCTGGAATCAGTCACACTTATCCAGGTATAGGATGACAGCCCAGGGCAAAGCACGTACCAGCATTTCGAGGTATGACCTTGGAGCCATGTTTCAGCAGACGGACAAACACATTACTGCTGCAGTGGTTCATCATGTGCAAGTGGAGGCTTCGCTGAGTCCGTATCTTGACCAAGCATTTTGCCATATTTAATAGTATGATCTTCCTATGGCTCTGCTGTCAATTGTGGCCCTGAATATATGCAACCAGCAACAACAGCTTTGACCTTTTGCTCACTGTCCATTCTGTTTCAAAGGACCAAGGCAGAGCACACTGAGAATGAATCAAATGTCAGGTTCTTAATGTGGCCAACAAAAATAACTCATCAGGGATAGACATTGGGCAAGGAGGGAGGGAGGAGATGCTATTTATAAACTCTTACCCCTCCTCTGATGGACAGTAAAATTTTATGCCTAGTCCTCACTTAGTTTTTTTCTAACTCATCTAGATTAGTGATCTCTGCCAAAAATCAAAAGTACCCAGTATAAAAAGAAAATTCCTTAATTCTATATTAGAGGGAAAAAATCTACTTTTACTTCATTTCTGACATATTCAATAAGCCTCCATTATGTTCTAGAGCAGATTTGCCCCATAGCAAATAATGCAAGGCACAAACTTTTTAAATGGGAAAAATATTTAGGCAGAAAATTATAGTTTTTTTAATAATGTGTTTTATTTGAAAACAGAATATCTCAAATAATACTGCTTCAATATGAAATGATTTGTTAAACAGTTCATATTTTTCAGTGACACTGATGTGTGTTCAACAAGTAAAGAAAGTTTCAACTGGGACAAGCCACACTGCTGGTGGTGTTCAGCAGCCACATGTGGCAAGTACGTGGGACTGTACTGCTCTCACCAAAATGGTGACTTTTTTGCATGCTTCATTTCCATCCTGTCACCATTCGAAGACTTTGTTCATTTTACAGACAAGGCTTATGGAGAAAAATGACCTGCATGAATTCATGAAATCAATGTGTCAATGACATTTTATACCTTGGCATTCAAACAATAACAGTTGACTAAAGTACAAATCCCCATATTGACAGCTGTTGGTGCTTGAATTACGAGCTTTAATGTGTTTTAAACGCAGGAGTCAAGTATCACATTCTCCTTACACTTTGAAACACTTGCACTTGTACATCTGACAGAAATGTGCCTGCATTCTAGCAGGGTCACTAAGGGTACAAACATTCTCATGTTTAGGACATGCTATGTAATTGAAATTTTTAACTGGTTAATAAAAATACATTGGCCACTTTCATTAATGTTTTTGCTGGTGTATTTCTTATCGATTGATTTCATAAGAAAAGACTTTGTATTATGCCATCATGCATTCATACATTTCTCCACTTCTAATAGCTAAGTTACTAGCAAACAAAGATTTTACATTTTCAGTGGATTTTTCTTTTCTCAAGAGACAAAGGATTTACATTTAGAACCATCATTTGAAATTCTACATTGTTATATTTCATTATGAGACTAAAATTAACAACATTTACAGAACGAAGTTTAGCAAACTTCTTTGCTAAACTTTTACAAATTTACAAAAGTTTTACAAGTCTGGCATTCCTTAACTCTAAAATCCACTTTTAGAAATTTATTCTGAAAGAATACTCAGAAATGTTGACAAAAATATTCATCAAGGCATAATTTATTAATGAATAAAAACACCAACTTAAATTTCCAAAGGGAATATGATTCGATATATGTGATAATTCATAGACATTAAATTTCATGTTTACAGAAATTGGTTGGTGTGAGAAAATGCCTACAGTATACTACTAAATGAAGAAAGTATGTTTATATAAGCAGAAGAAATTCAACCATGGAATCATACTCTCAGGAGTAAAACAAGAGCCTAGTATCAATTCTGAAAGGGAAAGGCATGGTGCACTATAATGGGTGGTAGGGGAGGTCACACCTACAGACATCACAGGGGCCTCCTACTCCATCTTATGGGCTGGTAGTTCCAAGAACAATAATAAATTCTATGTGCAGAGAGTGCGTCAGTTTCAGTTTTCAAATTTGAGTCTTGAACCAAAAACTTCAAAATTTCAAACCCCAATTTGTCATACCATAAATTCATAAATCTTCAACCACTTTCAACTTGGCTTTCGATATAATTCTGAGTAAAATCCCCAAATACAAAATAGACATATAACAAAAAAGTAGGCCCTGGAACAGTGACATTAGTCCTTCCTCACTTATCACCAACAATGGTTCTTAAATATATTATTAAAAAAATATTACACACCATAAATGTTTAATTTTTAAAAACTCATAGACATTTAAAAATATTATTGGAAATGCTTTTTAAAATTGAAAATGAAGTTTGAAAACCAATTCTCAATGATGAATTTCTGCCTTGTAGCAAAACAAAGAACTTAAAAGGATTAGTAAGGACTCATTTGAATGGAGCAAGTACTCAGTAATGAAAAATTATCCTTTCAACCTCTTTGAGAAGAATACATCAATCTTATAAATCAAAAGCTGCTTCCATACATATATTGAGATTAAAAATTTGCTCATAGTGAAGCCTAACTTGATATGTACTCTTGAAACAAAGGTCTAGGTCTCAGCAAATCACAAGCCAGATGTTCTTTCTGTGTTCAAATAAGACAAATGTGAGCTATAACCAGTCAAGTTGTCTGTATTTCATTTCTGTTTTGTGTGCTCACTTCCTCTTCTATGATGATAAAAATAGCCATCCTATGTAGTAAGCCAAAGAATTCTGAACTATTTTTGGTCCAGGCTACCAGCTGATTCTAGAGTCACAAAGCCAATCGAGATCTGAAAAACTAGCTTTGCTGTAACGTTGACTTCATATAAAACACTTTACCTCTCATCATAGTAGAAAAACATGTGATGTGATGGATCACGTGAAAGAAGCAGACCTCCCAAAAACAAAACAGAGGGGAAGTAAAACACCTGAAGAAATTACAGCTTTTCTTTCCCCTAATTCCCAAGCACAAAATCTCACCATAGTTTAATACCTTCTTTCTTCATTATATTTCACTATTTTATTACAAATCATAATTTTTAACTAAGGTAGTCACAATATTCGCCATATTTCATTTATTCTCTCAAATTTGAAAAATCAATTCGCTGCTCTACATTTTTAGAGTTCTTAAATAGACAGCTCTTAAGCACTGTCCTCTGAGGATGCTCTAATCTTCTACATTCACTTAGAGAGAGAAACCCAACAGGCTGGCTTTCTATATTGTCCTTGCTACTTTTCTTCAGCTGGTTAGACTCAAGGCAAATCTATATGCAGCTGTCTTTCAGAGGAAGAAGAAAACAGAGGCAGATATGTGCAGTTCCTCTACAGACTTTGCACAGATATTTGTTCAGAGTTCCACGCTCCAAAGAACAGTATCAGCAGCTTATTGGATGCCCTTGAAAAGAAAATTCCTATTTGATTCATTTATTTTAAAAAATTTAGAATTTATGTCCAGACAGTGGCAAAGTGAGAGAGTAGTATGTTATTTTCATCACCACTGAGACCAAATGCCCAATAAGAAGCAACTTAAAGGAGCAGAATTTATTTTGCCCCCCAGCTCAAAAAATAGTCCATCATACCTGGAGAAGGTATGATGGGACCATACAACAACTTCTGCCACACTTCTCGGTGAACCATGAAGTAGAGTGTGGTGAGGCAGTGGAAAAACCTCCCTCTTCCACCATAATGATCCCCTGAACGATACTTACTTAAAGCATTTTAGGTGTTGTACAACTTCCTGAGGACACTTCCTGAGGAGATATTTTGAAAAAAATATCTATTCATCAATTCTACCTTCATAAACTAGTGAGTTTATTGTGATTACTTCCAATATGGGTGAGAGGTTACCTACCTACAGAATCATGGATGACTCAAAGGTAACTACATCATAATAAAGTGCATCATAGTGAGACAGTCTAGGAGTCATGATGGGTTCCTTCTTCTCTGCCAGTTAAAGAATTAAAAGACAGAAAAACCTCCAGTGCAACAGGTAGTAGCAGAGAAATCTCCAGCACTGCAGACAGCAGGAGACAGAATCAGCATTTGAAGAAAGGCTTTTTGGGGGGTGAGGAAACACAACATGCAGTAGACACACAGAGAAAAAGATGCTCTGCAAAGTGGAGGTGGACTCTAGAAGTCAAAAAATCCAGTCTCTTCTCCAGGGCTGGGTGTTTGTTTTTGTTTGTTTGTTTTTTTTAAGTCTCCAAAAACTTTTCCTCCCCTAATTTATGGCTCGTCAGTTGGAAGAAAGATAGGATGACATATTGGCCTACAATTGTTGTGTAACCTGTCCTGCTCAGGCCTGGAACTTGACCTAGTCCATCAGCAGAGGGCCTGCCTGTGGGAAACAAAAGCCTACAAGACCTTTGTATTAAATGTTAGGCTTTTGTCTCAGGTCAGGTAGGTGAGGAGCTGGCTATTTTGAAAGTACACCATTTATTACCTAGCCATGGCCACTCTACCTATTTGCCTACCAGGGAACCTGTCTAAGGACTAGTCTCTCACTAGGAAGGGTAACAACTCATAAAGTCAGCATTGCAGGAGATCCCTGCTAGTCAAAGACTCTTCTCTTTGACAATTGTTACTGTTTATATAACCTAGTAGAGGGGTCTTATGAATTTTGTAACTTTCAGAAACATCCTGCCCTTGTAAATTTCATTTACTTCCTGAGTCCTGCATGTTTTATTTACTTTCCAAGTCCTAGGATCCTCTCCACTTAGGCCTGAATGTTTCAATTCAGAGGAAATAGCTTACAACACTAGTGTTTGGCTAGTCCACAGCTCCAAACTCTTCTCTCACACAAGTTAAGTCCTAAATGCTTAAGAACTACATGGTCAGATTTCTTACAGCAAAGCAAGTATCCTACTTCTTAGTAGCAATTTTATGTAAGTTATGTTTCATATCATTGTGATCAAATAAAGGCAAGAAACAATTTAAAGGAAGAGAGTTTGTGTTGCTTCATATTCAGCAAAAACAGTCCCTCGAGGTTGGGAACAGTGTCCCTGGTAGAAGGAGGTAACAACTTACTCTCCTTTGAGTGGACAATGAACAAAAGTCAGAAAAGGAGCAGGGTCAATCTTTAAACATCAAGACGACTCCCCATACACCTACTTCCTGTAGCTAGGCCTACCCTATAACTTCCTACAACAGTGCCACAATCTGCTGACCATGTGTTCAAACACATGGGCTTACAGAGGGCATTTTACATCCAAATGACAATGCAAAGGATATTTGAAGGAGAGAATCAATTTTTCCATAATAGGATGCAAAACAAAACAATTTTAAAA